TGAGAGTGGACAAGAATGACACATCTACACGGAAAACAAATACTTTGAGCCCTGAAGATGATCTCAATAAAGATCGAAACGTTAGCACGATATAGAAAATGTTTTTCTAAAAACTTGGGTCACGATCTCCAATAATCATTAACTAACGGTCACTAAAGACCACATATTTGGAATTTAGTTTCGTTGGATTCAAACTGATCTGTTACTTCTTTGATTTTTACAAGGAAGCTTTTTAATGGACTTGTCGAAGCCCCAGGAGTCCTTTATCAGATTTGTTTGAATTTCATAACCGTCATCTACGATTTTATGAGCTCTTTTACATTCATACTGTTACGGCCAATGCCGTGTAAGAAAAAAAATAATAATTAAAAAAAATGAAACGTTAATAAAATAAATTTAAGAAAAATTCTAAATTAAAATAAAATAAAGGAGAAATTCATAGGGGACTTACCACCTTCCTTCAGATGCCGGCTGCACGAAGTGTAGGGAGCTCGGGCCCGATTCCTCTGACTTCGTCGCAGAATATCCGATGAATTCAGGTGGAAGAGATCGATGCAGCAGCACAGGGGGTTTTTCGGAGATTCGCGTTATTTTGAATCTTTTTTAATTAATAAAGGAGAGAAACATATGAGATTAAAGAGAGGCGTAAGGACACTTTCTTTCGTAAGAGTAGAGCAGGACTGGGTTTGCAAGGAGCGTGGGTGTAGGATTAGGGATTACACTAATCCAAAACAAAGTATATTTAAAATGAGATGGCTGGCCAACACATACATTACAATCTGTCGACAGAATAGCCGGTTTGATTAAGTCTAAATTTAAAAATTGGTATCAATTTGGCGATAGTCTGCTAGTTTTCAAAAAGGAAAATTTATAAATTTTTGTAAAGCTAATAGCTAATAAGGGAAAATTATTTAGTTTTACTTTAAATTTTAAAATTTGATTTAAATTTCATGTTTCTTTTTTCTTACTGTAAGCTTATTGTCAAGTTTTTGTATATTTATATTTATTTATTTTATAAGTGTAATTTAATAATCCCGTTATATTTAGTGTCTGATTGACCAAATTACTTCTTTCAATTAATTAACATTTTTATGTAAGGTTTGGTTGAAATGAGAAAGGTAGTGTCACGAGCGGGATTCCAAACCACGGCCTCCGGCTCAATACGCCGCTGCTCTAATCACTTGTCACGATAGCTCAAGTGGTTAGAACAGCGGCGTATTTGTGCCGAAGGTCGTGGGTTCGAAATCCGCTCGTGACACTAGCTTTTTCATTTCAACTAAAACCTTATATAAAAATGTTAATTAATTGAAAAAAATTGTAATTCTAAATTTTCTTTAACGTAAGACATTTTTTATTTTTCTTAGGTGATTATTTTTTTATAGTTTTAATAGCGAATTTGCTTTATGTATTTGACTGTCCTAATCTGGGGGTTTTGTCCCTTTTTGGACTAATTCGATGGATAAATAAATAATTATTAGATTAAATCGGCGAAACTTTAAAGAATTATTGCGGAAAGTTTGGATGAGTTAAACATTCTGACCTGCGAAGAAAATAGGTTGAATTAATTTGTTAAGATTAAATAGAAAGATTTTTAAATATATTTCTATTTCAAGATTATAAGAAAGGCCGTTCAATGCGATTAATGAGATGCGCATGCCACGTCACGGAAACGCAAAATGTCTTGTCGATTCGGTAAATTTTAAACTGTAGGCTTTTTGTAAAACAAAGGACACAAAAATTATAGAAAATGTTTGATCAAGACAATCGTTTTGCTTCGCTCTACTGGAAACGAAGAAAAGAGGGCATTGAACGATAATCGCACAACCCAATGGTCAGAGGTAGGAACCTGGGTCTCTCAAGGTTTTTCACCGTTGAAATTAACAAAATGGCCTTTGTAACGTACGAGCCATTCAGTTTATAAATTTTCTTTAATGCCGAAATGTAGTTTTCTTGAAATCTCATAGTTTCAATTTTTTCTAACAAATGATGTATCAAATTTTTATGAAATATTACCCATAATCTTTTTGTAAGGTCTTGGTTGGAATGAAAAAGTTAGTGTCACGAGCGGGATCATGAAGATCAATTAATTGAACGTAGTTATTTGGTCAATCGGACCACGAAATATAAGGGATTACCTGTAATCTTTTATTAAAAAAAATAACATATATGTACGATGTTACCTATTCTTTTTATTTTGATTTGTAATGTAACAAACTTAATCAAAATTCTGTTTATTGGGAAAAAAATCAGCAATACTCTTGTATATTTCCGTTTATTTACTTGTGTCCTTGTTTCTTGGGTGTGTGTGTTTGATAAAACTTGTTAACAGAAAGCTGGATGAACTAGAAAGCCATTTAAAGAAAAAAATATATACTTGGAACATTTTTGAGACCTATTCCTGTTTTATTCTCAGCGTTTTTCTCTATGGCTTAATTTGCTGTTCTTATAGGTAAACAGTTACAAAATATAAATTATTTTTGGTTTAAAATAATAAAGAGCATAGAATAAAGCTGTGACAAGAGAGAAAAATCTCGAAAGCATTCCAAAGGTTTAAAAATTAAATGGTTGGCTTTTACCAAGCTTCCATCTACAGATGTAGATGTAAATGTAGATGTGATATTTCAGGGTATGGTATACTGCGCCCTTTGAGAGCTATTGTATCCCCCGTTCTCTGCCTAAAGCATATCGGTGAGTCCTATTTCATCAAGAAACTTGATTAATAGGCCCGGTTTTAATGATTGAAGCTCTTCTATGGTCACATTATATATTCCAAAACATTTCCTCCTGCGGGCTAATGTAGCTCCGCAGTTTGTTAGTAAATGTGTTGGTGTCTCTTCTGCCTCCTTGCAGAATCTACATGTGCCATGGATTGTTCCAATTTTCTTTAGGTGTCCATTTAATCTACAGTGTCCTGTTAGGATTCGCAGTCTGTTCCTGCTTCCTTTGACACATTCTGTGATTTCTTTCTTGCCAAAATTGGTTAGAAGATTCTTGGATTGTGTTCGGGTCCTATCAGCGGTGTGGCAGCCCCTTTCCTTGCAAGGGTGTCCGCTTTCTCATTGCCTTCTACTCACATGTGTCCTGGGACCCAGCAGAGTCTGACTTTATTCTGCAAACCTAGTGTGTTTAATTTGTTTTTGCAGTTCAGCACCATCCTTGAACTAATGATACTTGAGCTTAGTGCTTTGATGGCTGCTTGACTATCTGACATGATAGCTATATTCTTGTTTTTGTATCCTTTACTTAGATTGAATTGGATACATATTTCAATTGCGTGAATCTCAGCTTGGAAGAAACTGGTGTGTTTTCCCATGGGTTCGGAGTATTTGGTTCCGAGTCCAAATACTCCCGCCCCCATACCTTCTTGTGTTCTAGATCCATCTGTGTACCAAAGGATGGTGTCATTTTTAAAGGAGTTATTTCCCTTTCCTTCCCATTCCTTTTTGGTGCTTCCATCTTCAAGTTTAATTGTATAGTTCTTTAAATAATAAAACCACAAAGACAAATTTGGGTACTAACAGATAAACTGAAAAGGCAGAAACAAAATAGATTGGTCTTAAAATTAAAAATGTTACGCTTGGAAATTCGATTGACAATAAACCGAATAATTTTTCTATTAAAATGTTGTGTAATGAATTGTGATATTAATTTTAACGTGTGCTTATTTGATCTAATATTTAGGAGTAAAAGTTTACTAAAACCAAACAAATTAAAAATTATATCCCATTATATTTCACTAAAGTTATTTTTTGATAAAACTGTCTGTCTGTCTCAGTCACTCTCCCTCTGTCTGTCTGTCTNCACACACACACACACACACACACACACACACACACACACACACACACACACACACACACACACACACACACACACACACACACACACCCACACACACCAAGTATGTTTGTTTTATAAAAAAAACCGTATATAAAAACACAAATTAATTCAATCAAATCATTCTACGCAGGAAGTGACACAACAATTTAAATAATTAAACAGTTTGTATTGTATCATATTATTTCCATTGAAATAAATAAAATTCCTGCCTTAATGATGCATTTTAAGTATAAATTATGTATATTACTTTTTTAATTAAAAAAAAACAAAAAAACAATTATGTATCAAGACAGTAAACTATTGGCACATTTAAAGTACTATTTACTTAATTACAGATTTTTTACAGACAAAAATCGTGTTTATGTTATATTGGTGTATGTATTAGAAATTTATGGGGTTTAAAAAAGCTTGTATTTTAACGATCCTGGGTACAATTATATAAAATAATGTTTTAATTTGTAGTGTTTATTTATTTATTTTTTTTTAAATTATAACGTTGTTCCTTGTAACTATCCCAGAAAAATTGAAATAATAAGGTACATGACTGAAAAACCGAGGTAACAGTAAGGAAAGAATTATCCTCATTTGATTTCCTCCCGATATTTTCATTTCTGTGCAATTTCATTCAAACCCCGCGGGTCGGATTGAGAACAGGTGTCACAACAGAAAATTAAAATTTCGAAAATGCTGCTCACTTAGTGATACGCGTCTGACAGACTTTACGCCATGGCCAAAATGATCGATAATGACCAAATTATATTGCACGTGCTAAAACGAATTCATAATTTCCTTTTCTAGGTAATGCATCATCTTTTGACTTTTTTATAATCTTATTTTGTGCGTGAAAGAACAAAGAATGTGTAGAAAGCTCCAGTGGGATGAATAAAATGCCTGTTCGTTTGATAGATTGATGAATGGATAGCAGAATTTTTAAAAATTGATTTCCGACCAAATTGCTGCGCTTTTTGAAGTAAATATGTTGTTGTATATTGGTGAGGCGGATGGCACGTTATCAGTCTGTGTGGTAACTTTCAGTGATAAGACAATTTCCTGGTGGGAACTGGATCGATTGCAGCAAGTGGGGAACGGGAGGACGGAGTAACGGCAGGGCCGACTCTGCAGCAAGCTAGCGGGACTTGGTGTAAGTGGGGGTTTGAAGATGGCACTCGCTCTCTGGTGGGGGGTAGACGACCTAGTTGCCTCTGCAGTCGTTTCAGTCTGCCACGAGAACCCGTCTGTTTCGTTTTTCCAGTGCCGCGAGTCGTCCGGTTTGTCCTGACGGAGTTGGAGCCGGCGTGATCCGATGAATTGTGAGTACGACCGATTTTACAATATTTCTCGTGGTTGAGGAAAAAGAGGGAGAGAAGCCTGGGTCATCGTCGAAGGACCTCCGGGCGACGCCGCAGGGTATTTGCGGAGTCCGTCCTTGAGCGATTTCGGCCAAGGGTGAACTCAAGGTCTGTGCATCCTTGGCTCCCTCCGTGGGCGGAGGTCCCCTTATCTGCCGATTGCTCAGGCGTACCCGATGGAAAATTCTTGCACATCCTGAGACGTCTCACGTTCCGGGAACTAGTGTTGAACACGTCGACACGTGATGAATCAATCGAAAATAGTATCGCCTGCCAATTTTAGTGCCATGACTGCATCGGCCGATTCTGATTCACAACGCAAACTCAATTCAACAGATCAAAAATTTTGACAAAAGGCAAATAACTGTCATTTTTGTGCTGCAGCGTTTCCGTTTACATTCCCGACCATTGTTTTACAAACTCAAAACAGTTTTTAGCACTCAATGAGATATCACATGTTTGTCATGTTCATGTGATATATCACCATATCGATAATGCATTCATAGAGCCAATAATGTCGCATATTATTTATTAAACTGAGAAATTTAGTCATGACACTACATTAAAAACAACTTACTTCAGCAAAAATCATTAAAATGAAAAATAAATTTCTGTTTGAAGTTATGAACCTGTAGCTTGATAGTTTTTATCACGTATACCATGATAACTAACCCTTATTGGTCTGTTTACCTAAAAAACAACATAGAAAAAATGCTGAAACTAAATATAAAAAAAAGGTTATAAACCTGTAGCTTGATAGTTTTTATCACGTATGCCATGTTTCGTCTAACACTCTGAAAAAGCAATTTTGAAATAAAATCATACATGATGGGTATATCTACCTTATAATAATGCCCATATCTAATTAATAAACCCAACAATTTATTTATATAACTAACCCTTATTAGACTGTTTACTTTAAAAACTTTCAGAGAAAAAATTACTGAAACTAAATATAAAAAAAGGGTTATAAACCTGTAGCTTCATAGTTTTTGTCACGTATGCCATGATTCGTCTAACACTCTAAAAAAGGAATTTTGAGATGAAATCATACATGATGGGTATATCTTGCCCATAATAATGCTCATATCTAATTAATAAACCCAACAATTTATTTATATAACTAACCCTTATTAGACTGTTTAGTTTAAAAATAACAGAAAAAAATTACTAAAACTAAATATAAAAAAAAGGTTATAAACCTGTAGCTTGATAGTTTTTATCACTTATGCCGTGATTCGCCTAACACTCTAAAAAAGCAATTTTGAAGAAAAATCATACATGATGGGTATATCTTGCCCATACTAATGCCCATATCTAATTAATAAACTCACCAATTTATTTATATAACTAATCCTTATTAGACTGTTTACTTTAAAAACTTTCAGAGAAAAAATTACTGAAACTAAATATAAAAAAAGGGTTATAAACCTGTAGCTTCATAGTTTTTGTCACGTATGCCATGATTCGTCTAACACTCTAAAAAAGGAATTTTGAGATGAAATCATACATGATGGGTATATCTTGCCCATAATAATGCTCATATCTAATTAATAAACCCAACAATTTATTTATATAACTAACCCTTATTAGACTGTTTACTTCAAAAACAACAGAAAAAAATTACTGAAAAAAAAAAAAAGGTTATAAACCTGTAGCTTGATAGCTTTCGTTTACCCTATGCTTTGATCTATCTGACATTTAAAAAAATAGGATTTTCGGAAGAATCGAAAGTAACCCTTGAGTAAGTAAGTTAGCTTTTAAATCAACTGATTTAAGGCAAAAATAACTGAAATAAAAGAAAATAATTAATCTTTGAGGTGATGAACCTATACCTTGATAGTTCAGGTTCATTCTGGCCTCTCTATGCCATTACTCTGACATTATAAAAAGAATATCATATCTGGTGCATCATTTCAGTTAAATTTTAAAATGTTTTCTCAGCGAGAGTTTGTGCTTTACCCTGCTTATAACCCTGATCAAACTGATCGACATGATTCGTCTAACACTATAGAAAAAGAAATAGCTCTAGAAAGAAAAACTTCAAAAAAAGGAAGAAAAAATTACTGAAACCAAAATTTAAAAAAAAAAAATGGATCATAAACGTAGCTTGGTAGTTTACGTCCACCCTATGCTCTGATCTGTTTGACACTTTAAAAAATAGGAATTTCGGAAGAATCGGAAGTAACCCTTGAGTAAGAAGTAAGAAGTAAGTAAGAAACTAACCCTGATTTGACAGTTTGCTTTTAAATCAACTGATTTAAGGCAAAAATAACTGAAATAAAAGAAAATAATTAATCTTTGGGGTGATGAACCTGTACCTTGATAATACTTATAACCTATGTTATGTGTCTGATACTATAAAGAGAATATCATATCTGTGCGTCTTATCAATTAAATTTTGAAACGTTGTCTGCTAGGATTTTAAACACAATTAAACGAATCCACAATTTCCGTTTTGACATAAGTCCAGTAACTTTCGTTTGTTTACAACTGCTTTTCCGGTTAAATTCCGGACCGTTGTTTTATAAAATTTCTCAATATTTTAAGTACACCATTGGATTTTATTACTTGTTTGTCAATTAATCCTTTACGACACTCGGATGATATACATTTTCACTGTATCGATACTGAATCACAATGCCAAAAATGACCCATTATTATTAACCCCATCAATTTTTTATGTAACTAGTCTTTATTTGACAGTTTACGTTAGTATAAACAAAACTCAAGCAAAAATAACTCAAATAAGAAAAGAAAATGAAATCTTTGGAGCGATTAACCTGTAGCTTGATAGTTTACATCCACCCCGGTCTTCCTTTCAGCCTGACCTCCTAAATGACGGAATACAGAAAGAATATCATACCTGGAGTGTATGTCTTGATCCTAGACAAACTTACACAAATAAAACCAAAACGTTTTTACAATTAAAAAAATTGTGTGAGATGCTTTGTAGTTGCATCGTCCACGATCTTCCTGCTCTGCTTATTCCCGATAGCTTTGTCCGCCAGGGATGAAGGAAAATCAAAGTCCAATTGATAAGCAGTACGAGGCTCCAACTGTAGCGCACCTCTGAAGATGGCGAGAAACTGAAACCAATGTGATGGACCAAAATAGTACATAAAAACACCTAAAATTTAACCTTATACAAAACTTTTATGTAACGTTGAAACAGATTTGGAAATGTTGTGTGAGAGGGGCTGATTTTCGAGGATCATCGTCCCCGTTGGTTCTGGTCTGCCTCCACTTCATTGTCAACCAGGTCACTGAAAATCACACACCAGTATGAGACGCCTAATAAAAAATTAGTGATGATATGAAACATCTGAAACGATACGTCTTTAACACACTGTCCTCACAGGCACTCTCAACACGACACATAATAATGACACATCTACACAGAAAGCCCTGAAGATGGTCTCAATAAAGATCGAAACGTTTACACGATAAAAATAATAAAACGTTAACCCGATTACACGAAAATGGCAAAAAGGAGGGAAAATTCAAAAGGTGCGGTTGAGATGGGAAGTTGGTGTCCGAGTGGATCGAGGTCACGATAGCTCAAGTGGTAGAGCAGCGGCGTATCAAGCCGAAGATCTTGGGTTCGAATCCCGCTCGTGCCATTGACTTTTTTATGTCAACTGAAAACCTTATTTAATGGTATGGTAACGGACCACGAAACTAGTGAATTGTATAAAAAATATTCTTTTGAAAAAAATACGCATTTAAATTCTATTTTACTATGTACTGTTTAATGCAAAATAAAACTTGAGAATATCATTGCTTTCGTCATAAGTAATAAAATAGAAAACTGTACTCGTTATATTTGTTATTGTGATGTAAAATCTTTTTTTCTATTCCACGTGCCGTCGTTAGGTTTGTGTTTAGCTGGTCTAGTTTTAGTTCTCTCGGTTATGAAGTTGTCGATGTCGATCGAAGTCGTGCTTAGTGCCAGGAGGCGCACATGGTCACAGGGGAGGCCTCCCGCTGGCATTTCCGCCCCTCCTTCTTCACTGGATCTTCATTTTTTCAAATGTGAAGGCCGAGGGTTTTTTCTTTTTTTCTTTCGCACCAACGTCTTCTGTAAGAACGGCTTCGACGGCAAATCGCCGTACCCAGGCTGGAACTTCCGCTTCGTCTCACCCTCGACCCAGACCGTTATCTTCGTCCCGTCCGCGAGCCTTTTTCGAAAGGACGACCGGTCTGTTGATTTTTGAAATTATAAACGAGCGAAAAAACGCCTATGGGTGAATTTAAATAGGCAAATAACCTCGATGGCCTTGTTAACGGCAACGCATCTAAGAACTTCTGTCCTTCTGACTGTTGCTTAAAGTCTAATTTTTTTGTCAAACATTTATTGCTGAGGTTGGTAGATCATGTCAAATTTATGCTGCGCGGTTTTGTTATCCATGAAATTATCCCCTGGCCTTCGGAGGTGGAGGCCATTCAGTTCTTGCTTTCATTCGTTTCACGTCATTACCATATTACAACAATACTCTATCGTATTTCAAATATAAATTTATGGATATTTCAAAGATTTTTAAGAGGGTTTTCTAGGAAAAAGTCAATCATATTATCATATTTCTGCGGCATTTTCCAGCCCTCTTTAGTCAATACAACATTGAAATACAGAAATTTTTAATATGAATAAAATATCCATTCACACTTTGATTTCTAAATGTGCACCATATGAATGGGCACACAATATTTTACCAACTAAAGAAACGATAGTGAAAATAAAACAAAAATAAAATAGTAATTTTCACGTTAAAAATGAAAAAACGTAAAAGACATAGCATACCTGCTAGCAGACACGGAGAGTGCTAATAGTTCTGCAATAAAACACATATCACACACCTACAAGAAAAGTGACACAAGTCGAAAAATTCTAAAAACCGGATTATTTAGTTGTTGAAGTATTCGGGGGGGGGGGTTACTACATAAAAAATAAAATTGCACAG